TCCACACTAATAGAGATTGTAGAGTTTGATTTTAAAATATTTTGCTGCGTTTGAAATGTTAGTATTATTGTTTATGAAAAGCATTAGTTATACTTGTAGTTACGTACAGATTGACCCTTACACAAGGACGGTTGTTGACACCTCGCGGCACTTTATCATGGTTTTGACATCTTATAAAAGTTAAATTAACATTTCAAGTTATTATTGAGAAAAAAATAGTCAAATCAAGAGTTGTAAATATGTTTTATTTTCGTATAAAAAAAACTGTTTCGTTTATATTTTTAATCCTTATAGTGAATAACATCATTGCTGATACGAGTACATATTATCTATTTTATCTATACAGATAAATAAAATAGAAGTGTCTGTTTGTTATGTCAAAATTACAGCTTTTTACTAAAAGCCTAATATGAAATTTTATACGGTACTTATAAGAAAAACATATATAATTATTAAAATTTTTGTGTCTGTTTGTTTGTTCCGCCTAATCTCTAAAACGACTGGACTGATTTTGAAACTCTCTCTCTCTCTCTTTGAACTTAGGCTACTTTCATTTTAGAAAAAGAATTAGGGTTCCGCTCAAAAAAATTAAAACCTTCCTGGGGACGTATCCGAACGAAGCGCGGGTAAGTCGCTAGTCCCATAAATATTACAAATGCAAAAGTTTGGATGGATGTTTGTTACTCAATCACGCCAGAAAGGCTGAACGGATCTGGATGAAATTTTGCACAGAGATAGATTATAGTCTGGAATAGTACATAGGTTACTTCTTATCCCGGATAAATGTATGGTTCCCTTGGGATAATTTGTTTTTGTCATTTACTGGGGACGAACCCGAGCAAAGCGAGGGTGAGTAGCTAGTTATTTATAAGCCTCTTGTCCAAAATATTATCTATACTCACATTTATAGACCTTCCCTCTATCTATATTCGTTCATAAATGCTCGTGCTAAGTGTATTATAATAGCAGTCAGATTAATATATCTTTATAATAAATCTCATTCCTAAATAAAACACATTGCTAAAGAATACGCTAATATAAAATATTTTACGGGAAAGTAGTGTTGTAACTTTTACTTTATATTGGTGGAAATTTTTAATCAGTATTTTATCTATCTGATAAGATAAGACACTCCCGTATAGCCAGACGTGTGACACATAAGCATCTGCATATTAGTATGATAATAAATTATCTTTTATCGCAGCATCGCGGAAATAAACCATAATTGATGTTTTATTTTCGAAATTCACCTTAAGAAATTTTCCCTGTTTGTTAAATACAAACGATGAAAATATTTAAAGAATACAATTTTAAACTATAACAGCCATAAGCTATTTAAAGAATTAATCAAGGTCAGAAATATTTCATTTAAAATATTTCGCTCTTGCGTGGAGCTTTCAAAACACTTAAAGACTAAAAAAATTACCAGAACAATTTTTTGGCTTTTTGAAGTAAAAATTATGTATTATTATATACGAAGTTAATTAATAATAAAGACATGATAATTTATCAGAGTATAGAATTAACAAAGTGCAGCTTTCTTCAGTGGCACCACATGACGAACAGCAGATTCCATGAAAGAACGTTCGAGAAGGCCGCCGAGACCCCAGTCTGCTGACGCTAGTAATATTCCGTTGACTTTTCGAGTTTACATACATATGTGTGAACCGGTGAGTGCATGTTTGTGAGATTGCGAATGTGTTTTCTTCGTGGACGTCTTTGCCAATGCCAGTCACTTATGACGCAACCAACGGGGATACCATAAATATTCCACGAAAAAGTATAAGTACAATAGACACAGCGCATTTTATGTTGTAATAATCTCTTTGTAAGTACATATAGTCTACATGGTGTAAAAATTGGGTTAATCATATATTTTACTATAAGTTAAAGGTTTTTTAAAAGTTATATATTTCTTCCAAATAAGGTTTAAACAACACTCCATTATGATTAAACGGATCTCAAGTATTAAATTAAGTGCAGATTTTATATCAACTTTTAAAATTCTCATTATAAAGTAAAATGAATGTTTCACAATTGAGAATTACGATCGTATTTAGAGCGTCTGATAGGTCTAGACATTATGACGCATCCAAATTTGACGTAACGAAAGCTCATCCTTTATTTGTGTGCGTTTAAAATGGAGGGCGGGGCGGGTTCACACACTCGGCTTTCGGTGCTGCACGTATCTATCCCAATGTGTCTTGTCTCGCGCACGTGACGTCGAGCACGCACCGCGTTTATGGCCTTTTCCTACGAAGCCAGCCTAAATAATACTCACCGGTCATCATAATACACACCCTTTTTACTCACTAATAAACACATTGATAATTTCATAATTTCCTTATTATTTATTATTCACTTTACGTCATGATAAATACTTGTCTTTCTTAAAGGAGGCAACGAGGAAGAGTCTCGTATGTATTGCATCTTAGAGTAGCATAGCTAATTACAATAATTCTTTGTCGGATTCTCTTCCTGAAAATTTGACGTCAATCGGTGTCTGTAAGTAATGTCACAAATTTACTCTGTTTAGGTATTATACTCGAAGACAAAAGCTTGAAAAATTGAAAGAAATGAGGAATTATCAAAATCCTTGAACTCCCTCGTTTTTATTGACTACAATAGATTGTAGTATTATATAATTATGTCAATGAATATTACAGTAAAGACGACACGTTTGGCTCAGTTGGTAGTGACTATACTTGATGAGCTAGCGGTCGCGGGTTCGAGTCCCACTGGGGGCATTTATTTGTCTGATGAGCACGAATGTTTGTACTCCAGTCATGGGTGTTTATATTTATAACATGTTTGTATTTAAAGTTATATATGTGTAGTGTACTATCTGGTATCCATAACACAAGCCTCGTAACTTACCATGGAACTAGATGGTGCTGTGTGTTAATGTCCCAACAGTTTATCAGTCTTCATAAGTCGTATTTAAGACGGACAATAACACAAAACAGGAAACAGACAACTTCTGAAATAGGTTTTACAGACGTACATACGTGACGTGGATGACCCGCCCACACGGTAATAAATATTGTTTTTGTACAAGTACGCTGCATAGAAACAAATTAATCATAGCTTTGCAGAACTCATGAAATGCTGATTAACTAATACAATTTGCTCATCATCATTGGATTTACGTATCATAACTTCGATTTATAAATAACAAACGATGATCTTTAAATTATTATGGATGTGCCTTATTTATTTTTCAGTTGATCGATTAATTATCAGACACGACTTTGAAGTTGCCAAAAGTACAAAGAAGTACAAAGAAATACGGATTAAAATTTGACTAAAATATGTGAGATGACTTTTTTTTTTAATTTAAGGTCAAAAGCGATCGGCCAAAGTAAAAAAAAAACATACTTGAATTGATTTAAATAGCTGATAATGAAAAAAAACTCTTTATTTATACATATTTTACTTCTCCTGTGCGATTTTTTTTGTAATTTTCAAAAACTAGCCAGCATGAACTGAAAACTTGAAAATATGTAATAGGTATAATCTTGTAGCGTTAACTATACTATTTTGTATTATACCTACTATCTTTATTTAATTAAAATAAATAATTGATAAAATAATTTCCCAATTAGCAAATTGGCATTGTTACAATTTTAAAATTTTATTTTCCTTATTTGTTTTGATGTTATAGACTTCATAATTTTCTATAACATTATAAATAGACATATTGTAATATTTTTATCCTGTAATAGACGATTAAATAATATTCTTTATCTGACATTTAAACATGATCGTGTATCAGTCTGAAATAATCATAGACGCATGATACATTTTTTGTGAAATAATAGACAAATATAAACTTTGATTTTTATTGAATCTTGAATGAATAGTATTAAAATTTAAAACAAATTTTGACGATACATGGTATCTAATTTTATATAACTAGCGACTCACCCTCGCTCCGCTCGGGTTCGTCCCTGATGTGGGCCATTCTTATCACTTAGGGGTATGGAAAATAGATAGTAGCCGATTCTCAGACCTACTGAATACGCATATAAAATTTGGTAAAAATCGGTAAAACCGTTTCGGAGGAGTACGGTAACAAACATTGTGACATGGAAATTTTATATATTAGATTAATACGAATTCTTGTAAAATTGTAACAAGACTAGACATTAAAAGTAACTGCCTTTGAAAAAAGCGGAAGGCAGGAAGGACTTGCACAAAGTGTTTATTAAAATCTAATAAATTCTACCCTTTGCTCTATCAAACCATTATTTTTTATTCATACAATAAACAAAAAATTGTACGAACCCTTGAAATATTGCGATTTTTATACAATTACAATAATTTATTGATAAACTAGCACTATATACGATAGTTACAAAAGTAATAAATATCGAGCGCAATCAAAAGTCAAAACTCAAAGTAAATTCAGGCGCAGGCTTCAACGTACGCATATAATTGTGTGAGTGAGTGCACACACACTGAAAAAGGTTCACTCACACTGAAAAGCAGTTACACGACGAGAGGGGCGCCGGGGGCCCCGAGCGGGTGCGGGAGGGGCGCGGTAGCCGACACCATACCAACCTTCTATAAATGCCTGCGCTGCCATCTCTAAGTTTCAATAGATAACTTGAGTTCTGAAGAACACAGTACCGTGCTACCAACATTTTCGTCTGTCTAATTTAAGTACTGAATGTTGTGCAACCTTGCAGAACAGTGGCGCGAATATTTTTTGAATGAAAATATTGGATTTATTTTGTTCATGGAGAATAATTTAGTTTTCTGTTTCGTACGTTAACTGTGTCAAATACACTCTTTCTAGTAAAGTATAAATGTACGATATACATATGTGTGTAGACTGTTACCAATCTGTGATGTGTCTTATTTAAGTGAAATAAAGTATAAGACATTTTAATAAGTGATCAAACAAATTTTATGACTTTTAGTTGTTTGATATAGCTTTAAAGGACATTTATTTGCTTTTGATAATAACATAACGGTCAAGTGATAAATCAATAAAGATGAGCTTCAACAAGAATAACCCCAATGCAGTGGGGAAGATTATGGGATACCTGAAACAGCTTTCCACAGAAATGGTAAGTTTTAATAATATACATAATTATTCCGCAACTTTATAAGCATAATAAACGATTACATGTTTTAATCGCATAGATAATATAATAAATGCTAAAGTTTGGATGGTTGGATGTTTGTTACTCAATCACGCCAGAAGGCTGAACGGATATGGATGAAATTTGGCACAGAGATAGATTATAGTCTGGAATAGTACACAGGTTACTTTTTATCCCAGAAAAACGTATGATTCCCGTGGGATAGGTTTGTTTTGTTTTTCTAGGGACGAACCCGAGCTAAGCGAGGATGAGTCGCTAGTATTTCATAAACTTGATATACTTATTAAAAACAACAAAATATGTCGTACAAATATATACTCCTACATTTGATAAATATTTGTACAGAAAGCTCTGGAAAATAATGCAAGGCGCTTTGTAACGCAGACCGATTTCGTGCCGGCCAAACTAGCGACGCGACAGTCGATTCCAGCGGTTGCCTGGCAACCAATATCATAAACTAATTTATGTTGTATCGAATAAAACTATTCATTAAATATTAAATCTGCACAAAAAATATAAAAAAATCTAATTTTTTTTTACTATAATTAATATATGTATCAAAAAATATTTTAAAAGGCCTACATATATCAAAAATACTGAATTGAATTAAGTATTGTAAAATACCAACATGACCTTGTGAAGTCAGCAAGCAGTTCTTGAAAGTCCATTTTGTATAATTTAATTTTAATGTATGCACCAATGTAAATAATACTCAGAAAAAAAATGAATCTTGTAATTTCTGGTTTATTTGTGTACCTATATAATATTATGTCATCTGTCAAATATATTAAAATTTGTTATTTTTTTTCTTTATTTTCATTTCTTTTGTACTTACTGTTTAAAATTATTCCTCATACTAACATAAAAGCCTAATAATATTTTCAATTGTTTACAAGTTCGGTTAAATTAATTGGAACACTGTATTAAAATAAAATGATAACATTTTTCGATACAAGCGTCATGTTTATATTTTATTTACATTAACATAACGGCTGTAGCGTCCTCTAGCGAAAAAATAGAAATACACGACAAACGAAACAAAATATTTCCAAAGATCGTATGCTTTTCATTTGAATTGTAACGTTTCCACTAGATGGCTCTATACGCTTGCACTGAATGAAAAAAAAAATAGAATTAATAAAATATTACATTCACATTTCATCTATCACATTATTGACATCTGTCCTATAAAATACTAGCGGACCCGACAGACGTTGTCCTGTCTACACGTCTTTAATTTGAAAATTTCAAACTTTTATTAATAATTTTTTTGATGAAAATTATTATTCAAATTGTGAATCTAAACCATTCCCAGATCCCCTTGAACACACACAAAAAATTTCATCAAAATCGGTCCAGTCGTTTGAGAGAAGTTCAGTGACATACACACTCACAGAAGAATTATATATATAAAGATTGTAAATGGAACTCGAAAATAAAAAGTATTCAAAATAACATATATAATTTTATATGAAAAAAATGTATGTATTACATATTAATTATGTAACATAGTTAAGCAACTAATCCTAAATGTTCATTATTATCTTAAACATCATCCGCTTTACAATTATATTCAATGCCTGTCGACCTTATTCTGACACCAAATCAAAGCCATGGTCAAGCATGCAATAAATTTCATTTAAAAAATAAAGTAAAAGATTTTTGTATGGAATTTAGGCAGATTTCACAATAACATTGATCGACATACATTTAAAATATATTGTCAATATGGCAATAATAGATAGAACAAACCATAGTTATTAATTATTATATTTTTTACTAGCGGCTGCCGGCTCACCCTCGCTTCGCTCTAGGAAAGCAAAAACAAACCTATCCCACGGGAACCGTACATTTTTCCGGGATAAAAATATGAAGCCTATGTATTATTATATAAAATAATCTATATCTGTGCCAAATTTCATTCAGATCCGTTCAGCCATTCTGGCGTGAAAGAGTAAGAAACATCCATACTTACAAAACTCACATTTATAATAATAGTTTTTTTTTTTAATTTTATTATAAAGATACACTATCGACTTATCAAAATGACACTATAATAATTTGCATTTTGACATATACATGCAATTCGGTAGATGCGCTTTTACAGGCATATATTACACTACATACATTTTACTTACAATTGTTTACGTGCGATTAAAAAGTGTTTGTTACATGTAAACTAATTATATGCTCGAAACTGTTTACTTTAGAGATCACTAAGTAACTTCATGCTAAGAGAATGCACGTGATACTTTTCCTGACCCTTTGTGTGAAGATTCATTTACGTCACTCTTATTCTTGGTATATGTAATTAAACGAAATAAAATCATTAGGAATATACACTCACAATTAGCAAAATAAATTAATAAATGATGTACTATATAAACAAACTAGGTTCTATTTGAACATTTATAGATAGCAATACTATAAGAATTTTAAACTAATATGACATATTCATAAAATTATGTCAGATTTAAACAACGTCGAAAGACTTCTGAATGATAATAAATTATCAAATGTTATTTTAAAATACAACACTTTTCAAAATGATTTTGTAAGTAATAATATACATACCTACTACAAAATATTGAATAATTTTAAAGATATTTGTTTAGGGACTGAGAACACTTTATAGATAAAAATATTAAGTACCGAAAAAAAAATTGCTTTAAAGAAATCATTTCGTATTAGAGTAACGACAATCCAAGACATTTGACGTTTATGCTAACACGAAGACAAACATCATTATAACTTAACGGGCAAGTGTCTGATAACATCAACAATGAACAGGAACAAAAAATAAATTCCATATTTGCAGTTAAGCGTTAAGGAGTGAACGGTTTGTGTAAATTCGTGTTGTAGATAAAACCTATGGTTGTTGCATCAACTAAGACTATAAGTTGATAAGGTCAGGGTGGTTTCTAAACGTCTCAGTGGGTTATCAAAAGCATGCTTAAGCCATATGCACACTTAAAGTGTTCAATAAGCAAATGTATTCTCTATCTGACCCCAGACTCCTTGGGGTCACAATTCTTATCATTATGACTGTCTTACGCACATAAGATAGCGAATACAATAAATGGGTGTTGTTTGCGGATGTCTCCTTCAGTATCGACTGTTTAGTTAATTCGTTTTGTTATTATTCGAAGTGCTTATAATGTTGTTGTTTAAATCAATTTAATTAAAAACAATTAAATATTTAATATTAGAAAAGAATATTTATTTAGTTCTTTTCTCTTTCCAGGGTGGACCTGAACCAGGTCGGCGTGGCCCAGACGAGGAACGCTTATACCGTTCCCGTGGTCCAAAGTACGCAAGAGTACCATCGCGGGCGACCCTTTCGGCTTCCACAACCTGTACATCTCTCGCAGAATCTTGTGGATCTCAAGGGACTCTCGTTCCAAATTACGCGGCAATACCCGAGATCGTATCTACAGAGAGCAGTAGCGAGGACGAGCAGGATTCATTTGAAAAAACTCGGCGTCATTTTCAACAGTTACGTCAAATCAGCTTAGGGAACGAATTCAAGTACAAAATGGAAATGGAGATCAAAAGTGCTAAAGAAGAAAATTTGCGCAATTCCGTCCCATTTGTGAAACAATTAAGTACAGATAGTAAAGTTAAAACAGACTATGCTATTAATGGAGACACTCAACCATATGCACCCACAACGCAAAAGCTCTTTCTATGGACACAGGTCAGTAATACATTTTTACATATAATTCATAAGTGAGTGAATATAAATATTATTTTGAAAAAGTTAGGCTGAACTAAGATTTCAATAAATAAATTAAACATACTAAACTTGTTTTTTGTAGTAAAATTTATTACTTAATTAGCATTTATATTATGTTTCTTTTTTTATGTCCAATCGAATAAATACGTCCGAATTCAAATTTTGTTTAAAAAAAAAAAATTGCACTTTTTAGTTATAAGTCATTTTTGCGCGTAATGTATTCATGCTCATAATCTCTAACTTGATTAAAACTTTATTTGATTTACTTTTTAATTAAAGAAGAAAATTGCTAAACCTAATTTCAACGGAAAAAGTCATAATATTATAAATTTCGTCATATTGTAAATAATTTTGTATTACAATACAATTTAATAACTTATTAGTAGTAGACTTACATATGTACGTACGAGTATGTATTCAAGGACTGTATGTACACAGTATTTTATTAAATATACATGTTTTGTCGTTGCATTACTCTATATCGCAAACATCTCAAAAATGGAGCATTCAATAAGAAAACGTTCGATGAAATTGCTTTGTTTGTATAACTAGGGATAGGTTAAGGTACATACAAACGGTTTACTACGCATACATAAAAGTTCGAATCGTCGACTGAAGTTCAGAATTTTCCTGGTTTTGTTCTCGTCACTATGTATTCTTCCTAAACTTCGGGTATCGGATAACACAATGTCAAATTTTAAAATATCTCAGGTATTGCGTGATTCTTCATATAAAAATATATTAAAATTTAATAATTAAATAATATTTATTTGTTACAGATCTTTGCAGCGTTTGCAGTATCAATGGGGTCTCTCATGGTTGGTTTTTCAACAGGCTACACTTCTCCAGCACTACCCAGCATGAATGAAACTTTAACCATTACAGAAGAAGAGGTGAGAATATATAACTACAATGTTTAAAATTTTTGAATAGCAAGAAATCTATACATGTAATAAAATTGTAACTAAGCCTGTACATTAAATATTTTTTGGAAAATCTTATTAAAATAGACTTTATTATCGACACAGAGGCCGAATCTATAGTTTTTAGAATTTTTGTCTGTCTGTTACCACCACTAAATAGATTTTGATGAAATTTGGTATGATGATAGCTGGTTATCCGGGTCAACATATAGGATAATTTTTACTGCGGGAAAATATGTCATCTCTGAGAAATCTATATTAAAAGTTAAAACGTAAATAGAGACGAACCCGAGCGGAGCGAGGGTGAGTCGCTAGTGTTTATATAAAACTAACTTTTTTTATATATATTACAGAACAGCTGGATCGGTGGTCTCATGCCATTGGCTGCACTGGTGGGCGGCATTGCTGGCGGACCTCTAATAGAGTACTTGGGAAGAAAAGTGACCATCATGTGTACAGCGATACCATTTTTCATCGGATGGATGCTTATTGCAAATGCCGTTAACGTTGCTATGGTATTTGTCGGTAGAGCACTAGGTGGCATATGCGTCGGTGTCGTAAGTCTTGCTTTTCCCGTCTACGTTGGAGAAACTATACAACCAGAAGTGCGCGGAGCATTAGGACTATTACCTACAGCATTTGGTAATACAGGAATTCTTCTTGCATACTTCGCAGGAACTTATCTTAATTGGTCAAATCTCGCTTTTCTCGGTGCTGCGCTCCCCATACCTTTCTTTTTGTTGATGATTTTAACTCCTGAAACACCAAGATGGTACATCACTAAAGGACGCGTTGAAGATGCGAAAAAAGCTCTGCAATGGCTAAGGGGAAGAAATATAAATATCGAAAAAGAAATGGGAGAACTCACCCGTTCTCAAGCCGAAGCAGATCTTTCTGCTGGAACAAACGCCCTCAGACAACTTCTATCTAGAAAATACCTCCCAGCTGTTCTGATATCCTTAGGTTTGATGTTATTCCAACAACTTAGTGGTATCAATGCCGTAATATTCTACGCAGCGAAAATATTTAAAATGGCTGGGAGCACTGTTGATGAAAACTTGTGCAGCGTCATCATCGGCATAGTAAACTTTATATCAACTTTCATCGCTACATCTATAATTGACCGTTTAGGTAGAAAAATGCTACTTTATATTTCATCAATTTCAATGATTATAACATTAGTAGCTCTCGGTTCATACTTTTATATAAGAGAAGTTGTAAAATCTGATGTCAGCAGTTACGGATGGTTACCACTCGCTTGTCTTGTCATTTATGTACTGGGATTCTCTATTGGCTTTGGACCGATTCCCTGGTTGATGCTGGGAGAAATTTTGCCATCAAGAATTCGAGGTACTGCCGCTTCACTTGCAACCGGCTTCAATTGGACGTGTACATTTATCGTCACAAAATCATTTGACAACGTCATAGCTATGATCAATATGTACGGTACTGTATGGTTATTTGCAGTATTATGTGTTATTGGTTTATTATTTGTCATATTTTTTGTACCTGAAACTCGAGGTAAAAGTTTGGAAGAAATAGAAAAGAAATTGACTGGTGGATCACGAAGAGTTCACACGATAAGTAGAAATAAGTCTATCCAAAATGGCTGTTAATACAGCTATACTATGTAGTGTAAAATTGGTCCAATACACATTCCAGGATGCACACACTGCATGCCTGCTTAGTGAACTTATACGTACAAAGTAGAGGATTGATGAGTGCACACTGAAGACTGATTTGGATTGTATTGCTAGTATGTGAAGTTTGTAAATATAGGAAATTAGCGTTTTATAAGACATTAAATAGTTCCTTTTATCTTTACATTATTTCCGAGCAAAATATTTTGTAATAAATATATATTTATTGAACCGGCCCCGTACTTTTTGGTACAGTTTGGTGTAAAAATGAATGAGGTACATTCTCATTGTTTTAGATAATTATTTGTAAACTATATTTGTAGAACGTGATCTATACTAATAAATTAATATTGATCATGACAAGATATATTTTAATAATCTAATCATATTATTATTGTGATTTAGAAGTAAGAAATTAGATTATAGTGAATTTTAATATAAGAATTATTTAATATCTGAGTGATTCCGTATATTACGGAAGCTATATTTATAATATTTGTCATTTTAATAAAAAAAAAATAAAGAGAACTAACACATTTTTTTTTAAATTAGTTTCATTTTTTAAGTGATTTTAAACATCATAAGATTTTTTTAAATAAAACTAATTCAAAAGTATATATATATATATATATATATATATATATATGAGTATAAAATATAATATTGCATATAGTTTTCAAATAGTACTTACCTAATAACCAGTATCCACATACGACTTATAGATATTACATATTTTTATATTTAGGACGCCATGAAGTTATCTATGCATACATATAATAAAATGGTAACAAAGCGAAATCTGTACATAAAATATTTTTAAAAAAAATTATTGTTACGTATTGTATGCAGAATATAGTCGCTAAAGCATTAGTTGTTAAAAATTTTGTCTATTTGTCTGCATGTCTGGTTTTAGGACTTATTGTAGGCAAAAAGTACTGAACGGTTTTGAACTAAGTTTTGTGTAATGATAAACTATTACTCTAGACAGCTTTACCTACTATAGGAAAATCTCTTATTCCCAGGGGAAAACGCAATATTTGGCTGGCTGAGTCGTCCTTCATACGAAGAGAAAAATGAGTCACATTTGTATTAATTATAATAAATTATATATTAGCCAAGTTCAAGATCATAAAATCGGGGTTTGCATTTACAATAAATACCTAATCGAATATACATATATCGACTACCTTCCTACATCGAGTTTTTTCCAGAGTCAAGTTTCAATAGAGCCGCTTGACAGGTGAAAGTTCAGGAACCAACTTAAATAATGATGAACCGAACTAAAAAGTAAAAAAAAAATCCGTATTAACGAGAAAATTAATGTTATTGTGTTATCGTATCAATGGAATATTTACAACAACTGATATCGAGCACCCCACGCTTTTTTATCTTTTACCCTATTTTTATAAAGTTAAAATTTTGATATCGTATTCCTGTAGTGATATCGATAACAATTATGAAAGATGATAATTATTTATTAATATCATATTTCCCACTAGCGACTTATCGGTGTCTAACAAAATTTAAAAGTAATTGTTTCAGAGTTTTGTAGTTTTGCACAAAAGAGATACAAATGCTCCCCGCTCAGAAAATCTTGAACTTCCTGGAGTCAACAGGACTAAGCGAAGAACTTTAATTCATTTCAAAGGGAGCTACAATGGACCATAACTGGTCGACGTAGCTAGGGCCGACCTCGGCACCACACTCAATAAAATAAATATAATAATATAATTTGCACAAAGGATTTTTTTTATTGAAATGAAATAAACTTCATTCATTTAGACGTATCACGAGTGCTTTTGAATCATCAATTTAATGTAAGCGTCAGTGTAGTCAGTCCGTAAGGAAGCTACCATCGGCTTGGAAAGCTGTTCTGCTGAGATGAGCCGGCAAGAAACTCAGAAAAAGTATTCATTTTTATTTGTTTGTTCACGGCGTGAACATAATTATTAAAAATAAGAGTTTACATTACACAAAGGCCTTTTAAGCTTAGCCGGTTAAAACCGAATTTTGTTATTTGTTGTTAATTTGAAAATCATTGTTATTTATAGATTATAATAGGCCTTGAAATTAATTTGGTGTATACGTTTTACATACATATATGTAAAACGTAAATATATGTATGACATACATATGTACAGACATATTTAAAGCAATTCTCTATTAGACAATTTATATCTTTAAAGTACTCGTATGTAGTTATTCATTGAGAACGTTTGATACAATATGTGTTATAAATTATAATAATATGCCGTAGAGAATTAATATTTTATGTAACTACACTGCGAAAAAATTCTTAGCTGTTATTTGTTTGTATAATCAATATCACAATGTCGGATTTTTAGTAGGTACCTTACCTGATTATCCAGATAATTTTGTTTCTTGAAATATCATTTCTTCTTTTGGATCTTATATTTCTTTAATTTCAATAATTATAATTATTATTATTATTTGAGAATCAATAGTAAATCAACGAATTATTTTATTTTCCTCAAATATATCTTCATCTATTGAATAATTTTATCATCTATGAACGCTGCACTTACTAACTTACTGTACTGTAAGTTAGTACTTATTTTTTTCCCCAAGTGACTATATTATATTATTGAATACTTTCTTATATAATTCTTTCTTATATATACCTAACATTGGTATACAACACTAAAATTTTAAATAAATTATAGCTCATAATAGCACATCCAAATGTAAATTACACGCCACGTTTTAGACATAAAGCAGTCTTCATTTCTAACCTTTACTTTTGCACCAAAAAAATACAGAAAAAATATGTATATGAGAAAGATAAAATAGTTCAAATAAATGTCAATAGATGGCGTAATATGTATCGATTATTGACATTTCAAAGAAAAAAAATAATCCAAAAGAATAAACAAGAACATATTAAAAATATTACTTGTAATAATAAATTTGTTTTGCGTATTTACTGTTGCCGTTGGTAATTTGTAAGTTGTTTATCACGGGTAAAAACGGTTAGTCACTGATTATTGTTTTATTAAATAAAAAATGGATTAAAGTCATATTTTACACATTTATGTTATAACATAACACATATACATATAATAAAATTGTAATTAAGCCGAATCTGTACATTAAATATTTTTTGGAAAATCTTATTGAAATAGACATTATTATATATACAGAGGCAGAATCTATAGGTTTTAGGATTTTTGTCTGTCTGCCTGCCTGTCTGTTACCGCATCACAAAAAAAACCACTGGAGGGATTTTCATGAAATTTGCTATGGTGATAGCTGGTTATCCGGGTCAACATATAGGATACTTTTTACCGCGGAAAAATGTCTCTTTTCTGAGAAAAAATACAGTAACTGCAATGTAAGAGTATACTAATATGTAAGACCTAATTGTAGTTTGGTTTTTGGTCATCTGAACGCGGGCGGAGCCGCGGGCAATGCTAGTATAAAATAACATTATTCGACAGTTAACTGATCAACGCCATCTATCATCTATTTAAGCAATAGCCTAAATTAGGGGCGTCCAATTTCTTTGTATGGTTTGAAGTATCTCTACTTGTATTGTACTAGTATAGATATGTGACTCTATTATGTAAAAAAATAAAACTTGCTATATATCAGCTTGCCAATTTCATGTGATGCCGAAGCATCTATTATATTAGTGCATTTCTATGGCTTCTACCCATCCCAATTTTTCCTTATTGTTAGTTGATACATCGATTTACTTTTTGACTAATACTTTACTTATTCTTAATTATTTATTACCAATAATAATGAAAAAAAAACAAAGCATTATTTAATATTTAAAGTTTTTATTCCAGCATTTACGGAAAGGAGGGGAAACCTTCCATTAACCGTTTGATACAGCAAAAGTTAAAGTACATTTAAAACAGTAATTAATGATCAGGATTTTTATATTTTTTCATTGCAAGCGACCAACTTTCAAATGCAAATATTCAAGCGGGAGATATCCGAAATTCTAGGAAATAACGAAAACTTCTGATAAAAGTCACGAGACAGATGACGAAAAATATTAATCCCATCAAAAACATAAATGTGAATAATGAAATGGGAGCAAAGTTTAATATTAATAGTAACTGTGGTTGTCAACTTCACCGACAAAAGAATTGAGATCTAAATGGGTGCCAAGTTTATTTGTTTATTTATACTTTATTGTACACCACAATCATAAAGTAAATGCAGTAAACAAAAAATTACCAGTAAAGCTAGTTTTTAGAAGAGTGAGACATGTTAACCTAACTATAAAAAACAGTAACATGGGCATAGCATAAAGAAGATAATATAAGTGATAAGCCGAATATAAGATAACTTGTATGTAAAATTTTAAATAAAACTATCTTTTCGGATTTTGTCGCGGATTTATTTGTATTTTTGTTTCCCGACGTTTCGAAATGCTTTACAGCATCCATGGTCACGGGAGAGACTGAGGTGTTACATGTCTTAAAGATATAGTTGTTACAGACAGCCTACCCACAATTAACAAAATGAAAATTGCACCAATTACATTACAATATTTTAACTTTAAATATTTTTATAATTTTAATTATAATTGAATATGGAAAATTATTTATTTAATTTTTGCTATTATTTTTATAATTATTACAATTTTAAAAATATTAATTAACAATCTATATTTAGTGTTGCCATTATTATATTCATAACCATAAGAAAAATATAAAATATAGTATTAATTATTTAAGCCACAATTGATCTATGTGTAATTTGAAAAAGTTAAGATTAATTAAAAAATAATAATTTTAATTTAAATTTGCTATTATTTAAAAACAAATTATTAAGCAACACATTACTACATACATTTACAAATGAAAAAGTGAAAAAAATATTATTAATCAGAAATGCTATCATTTTGATCTACACAGTAAGAACTTACTACATCTACCTGTCTGTTATGTTTAGATTTATTATTAGATTTTATTATATTAATAACAGGATCCCATGAC